AGATGGTGAGAGTATGTGAAGGACATTATGTGATCTTTAGTCATCAAACTCTTAGTCGAAGTGAATTATGAAATTGCTAATTTTCCACTCCTAGGACTAAGGAATGATTTTCTCTAAGTTGATCACTACTTATTTCTTGTCGATATAATCATGTGAAGTGACATATAGAAATGTATGATTGGTTAAGTTGTGGATCTCCGAAAGGCTACATAGGGCAACAAAAGGTTTCTAACATTTAAGATGCCGGTTTGATCATTTTTGGTAGTCGAACGGATTAATAAAAAGTGTTTGACTTAAGTACCTAGACAATCATTAAGTAATCATGAGTTTTTACTTAGCCATTGTCTTAAGTTTCTTTGATGATTTAGAATGCCTAGATACGAGTTAACCAACAATCATTTACATTCGCCTAGTAACTATTGTAAGCCGATGGAAAGTTAGAAGGGGGATAAGTGACAACTAAATTTGGAGATAGAAAGTTTCCAAGACTTAGAAAGGAGTACACATGTTAAGGATTATGAGCATTACAAAAAAATATATGAGAAACATGTTTTAACCCTATCACTTTGTGATTGGTACTTGGTATAAATTATTTGGAACGCGTTATGTGATACTTGTATTAAATGATTTTGTTATATGCAAAAATTGATGATAAAGTTACATGTATTATATGTATGTATGGCTYGCCTATCTTTATAGTGAGATGGTTAGTGATGGGACGAGTCCCAACCATCGAGCGAGGAAGGCAAATACGTGAAGTTTAATTTTGTGCATAGTGAAATTTCATAACAAGAATAAAATAGCGTGCATAAGTATACTAAAGGTGGAAATGTTCATTATTATAGAATGTCGAAAAGAGTGACAAGGTCAATGAATGCTAATGGTCATGAAGATAACAGAGTCGAGGGAATGACCTCAACCCCAACCCGAAGCCGAAGTGGTCCTAGTAGACCACTGATCCAGCCTACACAACCAGAAGTGAACATTGCCGAAGAGATGGCACGTTGTGTACGCACTGCTTTACCTGGAATGCTTGAGCAGATCCAAACTGCAACACTTAAGATGGTAGAAGATCGTTTGAAACATAATAGACCTTCAAAAAATGAAACTTATGAAATTAAGGAGTCGACAAATAATGAATCTCTCAATCATGAGGAGTCGAACGGGGAGGCACACTCCGATAATAAAGAAGTTAAGAAACCCGTTAACAAAGAATGTAGTTACAAATCCTTCACCAGCACCCGTCCTTCTATTTTCGAGGGGAAAAATGGTCCTTTAGCAGCTATGAACTGGTTAGACGAGATAGAAAGTTGCTTCCTGACTTGTCATTGTGCACCTAGTGACATGCCACAATTTGCATCAACTATGTTTAAGTCAAATGC